TTCTGACAGTCTATGGTATATTCAATATTCTTTGCCAATACTATAATTCAAAGGTATCAGTTCGTCTTTGATCTTCTTTATTCATTGTTCAGCTTTCACGTGCCTATAAGGCGATTGAAAATACCATGGCTTGGCTCAGGAGCACCTAGGTTTTCAAGGTGACATCTTTCCTTTTTAACACTTTAAAGAGATCTTTTGCAGCAGATTTGCCCAATACAATATGTTGTTTGATTTCTTGATCACCACTTCCATAGGCATTGATTGTGGATCCAAGTAAAATGAAATCATTGACAATTTCAATATGGAAAATAGTTGCTACCAGTTGCGTACATTTCTATTCAACAGTATGCCTGTACTTCACTTTTGTCTCTGTTGGCAAGAATTCTCCTAAAGATTTCAAAATATGTGAATGAACCTTTTTAAGAAGAGCTCTCATAAAGAACCACCCCATTGTTATTTGTTCATTAATAGGTCTGTTACTGATGACTTGGATTTATGCCTCTTAATTTTGAAAGTATTTTAAAATTAACATTACTTCCAAAGAATTTCAAATACTTTTTCTGACAGTAACGTCTGCTTGGAGGCTGAATTCCTAACTTTCCTCCCACAGGTCTCTTCCTTCATGATTCCATAGCCTTGTGGGTTTCCTTAATAGCCTCAAATTCCACACTGTAATCCATGTGTGCTGAAAGACATCTAGAATCACAAAGACATGCCTCAGGGTCTCAGGATTAAGCAACTAACAGCTCGGCCTTCATGTAATTGAACTCAAAGAGGTAATCTGTTTAGATCCATTTTAGAAATTCTTCTTTCTCTCATTCCTCCTCTATGTATCTACTCCTTCTTAGAGGAAACCCATTTATGGTTCTAACAAATTTTCCAAGGAACACAGTTTTATCCCCTTGGAAGTCCCAGGAGTCAAATGCCAGGGAATGGACAGTATCTCTTTGTGTACATGACATAGAGGGCCTCCTTGAGTACAACGACTGATTCCTATGGGGTTCTAAGCAAGAACTCAGGTCCTGAAGTGCTGCAGATGGTTTGCTACTTACCAAAGGTTGGAGGTTCAAAAGCGTCCAGCGATGCTGCAATCTACTTCTGTAAGATTACAGCCATTGAAAACCCTATGGAGCGCAGTTCTTCTAAAGCATGTGGGGTCACCATGAGTCAGAATTCACTTTTTGACAATGGGTTTTAAGTAAGAACTCAGCCACTTTGGAGAAAGAACTGTTCGTATTTGCTCTTCAGATATTGTATGTCCTTTAGCACCCTATTCACTAGAGAGATATATGAGATAGGTAGAAAGTACGGGCTAACCTGAACTGGCATTTATTTCTCAAAAAGTTCTGGGATCTTAGAGCTGGAAGGCCCTTGAGAGTATCCTGTTTAACCTCCTATTTGACTCAGGAACCCCTCACACCTCATCCTTGAGATTCATTCAAGGCACCATGAGTACTTTCCGAAGGGGTGAGATCCTAGCTGGACAGCTCCAGTTGTTAAAAATTTGCAGCTGTAAGCAAGCATGTGTATTCCCTCAAGTTGCTCTGATGTTTGACACTATGCCCACTCATCCCCTGTACTTATATGTTCTTGCCTTTTCAATTGTATGATGTTAGTTCCTTATCTGAAGATTTCAGAATTGCAATTTGAGCTCTCCTAACATGATTTCACTTTAGCACAACCTGAACTTTGAGACATATTGTGGATATCTAAGACTACCTCATCTCTGCACTTTTAAGCCTCCATGACACTCCTGATTTCAAACACCTTACTGCACTCTTACGGGATTCTGACCCATTCTGTTCCACGATAGAATATGCGCCTTTCCTCTCTTATTTTCAGATGCACCAATGAAGAGTTGAACAGTATGTGTTGGGCCACATATAGTGCCAATGACATGACCATCATTTCTGCTGACTATGAATTCACGTAGTGCTTCTCCTGCTGAAACATGCAGGAGACAGTCGCTTTAGCAAACTGGACAAGCCAGTGTATGTTGAGTAAGTTTCCGAACTATTTTCTAGGATTCCTGTTGCCACTGACTATGGAAGGGCTGTATTTTGTTAGCGAGATGCGATCAGGGAACATTTCTGTGGCTTTTTTTTTTACGTGTGTGTTTTATTTCTTTTTTTAAATTTTATTGAGTTTTTGGTAAAAGTTTACACAGCAAGTTAGGTTCCTATTTGGCAATTCCACATAAATTGTTCAGTGACTTTAGTTACATTTATCACAGTGTGCCAACATTATCTTTAATTGTGTTGTTTGTTCCATTTCCAGTACTCTAATTTCCCTGCCCACTTGATCTCATACTGATGGTTTTTAAGTAGAGCACCGATCTTATGGGCGATATTGTTTATTTCATGTGCCACTCTGATATTTTGCTAAAGGGTGATCTCGGACAGGCTTAGTTCTGGGTTTAAAGAGTATCTCAGGGAGACAATCTCAGGGAGACAATCTCAGGGAGTCCTCTGTTCTTTACTGTTCCAGTTGCCTAGGGTTTTTTTTTTTTTTTTTTAAATAAGAATTTGAGTTATGTTCCACATTTTTCTCCTATTCTATCTGGGGCCATCTAATGTGACCCATGTCAGAACAGTCAGTGGTGGTAGCTGGGAACCATCTAGTTCTTCTGGTCTCAGGGTAATTGAGGTTGTGGCTCGTGTAGACTTGTTTCTTCTCCGAGCTTTTGGATACCTTCTTACTGTTCTGCTCCTGGTGAGTAGAGATCCATAGTTGTGTCTTAGATGGCCGCTCGCAAGATTTTAAGACCATAAATGCTACTTACTTCACTAGGAAGCAGATCATGATTTTTGTGAGCTATGTCAAACCAGTCGACTGAGTTGCATGAGACTATGGTCCTAAGCTTTCAAATCCAGAAAACCAATCTTGGAAGGTGTTTGGTTATGTCTGTGGAGTGTCCATATTTGTGTCTTCAATGAATATACGTGCTTGCTCCCAGATATTTGTATTTACATGTACCTGTAGATACTTCTATCTGTTCTCACTTATGTACACACCTGTACCTACCCATATACCAATATGCCTATACCCATCCACATGTGCTGAAATACTCATTTTTGCTTTGGTTGTGCTGTGCTCACTACATCCACATCTGGTGCCACTTCTCCCGTTACCAAAAGAGAAAAAAACAAGTGTCTACAATCTAAAATGTATTTTCCCCTCCCCGCTCCTCTCCCTGGTAACCACCTATGAACATTAGTCTCTCTCTATATACACCTATTCCTATAAAAGAGGGATCATACAATATTTGTCCTTATATGCTTGACTCATTTCACTTAGCATTATGCCCTCCAGGTCCATCCATGTTATATTATGCTTTGTGGACTCATGATTGTTCTTTATGGTTGTGTAGTATTCCATTGTAAGGATGTACTACAATTTGCTTATCCTTTCATCTGCTGATTGGCACTTCTGTTATTTCCATTTATTTGCTGTTGTGAATAAAGCAGCAATGAACATAGGTGAGCATGTGTCTCTTTGTGTCATTATTTTTAGGTCGTTAGAGTACATACATAGAAGTGGGATTTCTAGATCGTAGGGTAGTTCTATTTCTAGTTTTTTGAGAGAGCACCATACTGTTTTCCATAGTGGTTGTACCATTTTACAGTCCCAGCAGCAACGGATAAGGGTTCCAATCTCCCTGCATCCTCAGCAACATTTGTTGTTAGCTGTTTTTTTCTCAGTGCCATTTTAGCCAGGGGTGAGATGGCATCCCATTGTAGTTTTGATTTGCATTTCTCTAATGGCTAATGATCCTGAGCATCTTTTCATATGCTGATTCTTGGCATGAGGAATTTAATAGTTGCTGTTAAATTAAATTAATATTTATTTAATTTTAATTTTGGCTTTTAATTTTAATTTATTTAATATTTATTGAATTAAATAGTTGCTATTAAATTCCTCACGGCCTCTGTGTTGTGCCATCCAAATGCTTCCTGAGAAGCTGTGCCATTCTCTGCTTAACATTTCAACTATATGCTTCTAAACGTGGAACAGATGTTATCCTGGCTGCTGTGACTTGCCATGAGTTTCTCTGTTCACGTTATAGGCAAGGCAGGTAAGAGGCAGCTGATTTGCTGGCCCTGCTTTGTGGAGAAAGAGAAAAGCTAGCAGGGTGAAATAAGAAAGAAAGAGAAAATAAATACATGAAGTAGAGAGAGAAAGCTACATGGAGACAGCCAGGAACACCCACTTAAGCATCTATTATCCTGATATATGCTACAGTTTGCCCACCGCTGATTTGCCTGGCATCCCTCTTGAACCATCTTTGTGGCCATCCAGATTAACTATGTGAGCTGACCTCTTGATTTAACATCAGCTTGCTCTTTTCAGCGCCCAAGCCGTTTACTGTCTTCAAAAAATGTTCTGCTTATTACTCAGCCGTCTGTGTTTTCAAGAACTCACGGTCTTTTTTTTTTTTCTTTCTTCTTCTTTTTTGTACGGGAGCCAGGAGCTAGAAAGCATTCAGTGAGGAAAATGAACCACTCACATAAAAGGTGGAAGCCCAGAGAAAAAGGGGTTTGTCTTTTATGGTTTGTACTTTGTAAGCTGTGGGTGTGACTCAATTTCCTCACCACCCACATAAAAAGGTTGCCACCCAATCACTGTGTTTTCTATCCAAAACCCCTCCCCTTTGGTTTTGGCTAGGAGAGACCCTGAGAAAGACTGCCCTTTCTGGACATTGTAGTCTGTGACATATAAAAGCTGTTAGCAGCTCCTGTAGCCAGCAGCATTCAAACCTTGCAGAGTTTTGCTCTCAGAGTTTGTAATAAGACACACTCCTTTTACAAGGGTTCATGCTACAACATAGCAAAGAACTTTAAATTTTTGGAAGAACAATATATTCATTTTGGCATTGTGCAGAGGTAAGCTATTTAGCTCAACAAGTTTATTTTGCATGCATTGATTTTAAAGTAGCTCACTTTTTTTTTTTTCCTTAAGAAATGAGACTGGAATATTATAACTTTTTTGTATGTGTTCTATCACTTGGTGTACATCTATGTCTGGGAGACATTCTCAGCACATTCTCTGGTACCTGTGATACTTTCGTCTCCACTCTCAGGATGAACTTCCATTCTTCAAAGAGTTCCCACTGCAAATAAATATTCAGTGATGCAGTCTGTAGTTAGCCATTTGGGGCAAGTGGTTCACAATTCATTTTGGGTTTAGCAGTCATGCTGTTTGATTCTTTGTCCAGCCATAGGAAGTTCCTCTTAGGGGTCTACCTGATCACATTAAGCAAAATGAATAGTGACTCTATATAGGTTGTCTTCTAGGCTTGGCTTCAAAAGGTGTTTGGATTTTGGGAGAAAGTTAAATCAAGCAATGCTTCCAAAGGATAACTTTATAAATTCACATCTTTTGTCCCTCTCACCTTTTTTTTTTTCTTTCATAGACAATAACTCTACCTTTCTGCTTTAAAGCAAAATAAACTCGGTGGCCTCTCCTCCATCCCTCAAAATGATAGCTATCTCTGCAGTCAGCGGAGCCCTCCTGTTCTCCCTACTCTGTGAAGCGAGTGCCGTCATCTTACTCAATTCCACTGACTCATCCCCGCCAACCAATAATTTCACTGATATTGAAGCAGCTCTAGAAGCCCAACTAGATTCTGCGGATATCCCCAAAGCCAGGCGGAAGCGCTACATTTCGCAGAATGACATGATCGCCATTCTTGATTATCACAATCAAGTTCGGGGCAAGGTGTTCCCACCTGCAGCTAATATGGAATATATGGTAAGAAGTCTTCTTTTTCTTTGAGTCTGGAGGGAAGAAGCTTTGTTTAAGTTGTATGAGAGAACCTAGAGGGATACGCCAAGGATATGGGGCTTTTTATACATTTTCATTTAAGAAAAGTTCCTATGTGACTAATAATCTTAAATAGTCTTCCATCATAGAACTAAAGGAGAGGGAATCCAGATAAATTGTTATTCTGTGAACTCCATACCTACTGATGAACCATGTCTTATAGAAGGAACATAGATAAAGAGTGAGCTCTGTTGACTAATAACATTGAGATGGTCCACTTTTATTTTTATTTCACCTGGAACTTTTGCTGTATTTTCATTATTGAATAGTTACCTTTATCACTTAAAGCATTTCTTGAAAATATTTCTTAACATTATGGGTTTTGTGGGCATGAGTATTCTCTGGGTAGGTGTCTTTTCCCTTTCTTGGACAAAGCCCTTCTCCACACTGATCTATTTCTATTCTAAGAAAATAAGCTGACTTTTCCCTTGTTGTGATTTAAGGCTCTGTCGTGCAGATAACGTTAAGCCAGAACTCTTGTACACTGTTCCAACTCGCAGAGAACAAATACTTTGCTCTCTCTGTTAAAAATAGGCTCGCTGTGCTTAAACTATTTTACTTAGAAAGTAAGTAAAAAATTCAAGTGGATATGGAAAGGAAAGATGTCTTTTAAAATTTGCTTTATTTCTGGTTTTGAATTTATGAAACTTTAAGGTTGAAAGTCCAGCATCTTACAAGAGGACAGCTTGGAGCCTATTTAAGGCAATGACGAGCATCAAGATGGTATTTCTGAATTGGGGTGGAGGGAGGTGGTCACTAAGAAATTTTTATAGGTACTGACCTAAAATTTGCTATTTATATCAAATTCTAAATTCATCTATTTTATTCGAAGGAACTTTTTAAGTTTGACTAATTGCAGGTGTCAGTGTTGCAGAAAAATAAAAAAGGTTTTTCAAATGTACAGGAGCCATTGGTCATAGAATTGGCAAGCAGACTCTAGGAGAAAGCATTTTCCTAGGATTTCTTAGAAGAAAAGAAAACGTAATTGGTCTTGGTTTATATGGGACAATATAGTCTTGGGATTAAGGATGTGCATTCTGGAATCTAACTGCTTGGGTTCAAATCCTGATCCTGAAATAGAAGCTGTATGAGTTCATAATTTCACTATGTTTTATTTTCATCATCTCTAATAGGGGGATAAAAGTACCTGCCTCATAGGGTTGTTGTGAGGAATGTATGAGTTGGGTTGTCCTGCGGTGGCGCAAACTGTTAAGTGCTTGGCTACTAAGGTAGTTTGAACTACAGTTTAAATTCACTCAGAGGCACATTGGAAGAAAGACCTGGCCATCTACTTTGAAAAGATCACAGCCATTGAAAACTCTATGGAGCAGAGTTTCCCTCTGAAACACATGGGGTCGCCATGTGTCAGGATTGAATTGACGGCAATTTTTTTTTTCATTTAGAGCTATTAGACAAGAATCTATAATAAAAAGTAGCTTATGTTGGTTTCTTTGAGCTTCTTAAGAAAGGTGCCCAGTGAAAACTAATTCAAGAGCTAAAAATAGAAATAGTTACCCACTTACAAGAGGTGTTTCTAGAAGTTAAGGTACAGATGTAGAAAGCAACCAATAAGTTTAAAATGTTACTATAAATTAGGAGAGCAATATGGAATAGATTCCATGGGGGCACAGAAAGGCATGTGTCCAGACTGGGAGTTTATGGAATCCTTCCTAGTGACAGGAGCACTGCTCTCCAGATGAAGAAGATGATGACCTAGACAACTGAGTTACCCAGGTTCAAGTCCTCGCTCTGTTGCCTTGTACAAATTTCTTAATTGCCAAAGACCCAATTTCTGTATCTGTAAAATGACAACAATAATACAGATAATATGTACTAACCAATCAATAACTAATGCACTTCATTATTTTAATAATATTGCAAGCAGAGGGGTCATTATGAATAAAAGCATAGGTGGATTACAGACAGGAGAAATAGATTGAAAAAAGCCACTTTTTTCCCAGTTATAGTCTTTCCCCACTGGTCAAGAATTAATTCATTCCACATGCACTTATTTAATTGTTTCCATGTGCCAAGCACTTGGCTCATTGTTTCCAATGATGATCTCATTTGATAGTTCACATTCTCATTATGGAGTAAGGATTGTTGTCTTCATTTTAGAAATGAAATCACTTAAACCCAGAGAAGTTGATGATTAGGACCAGGTTGTATGAATAGTGAATGGTATAACTGGAATTAGAATTTAACCAAACCAAAGTTACTGTCAAGTCGATTCTGGCTCATGGCAACCCCATATGTGTCAGAATAGAACTGTGCTCTGTAGGGTTTCCAATGGCTGATTTTTTGAAAATAGGTCATCAGACCTTTCTTCTGAGGCACCTCTGGGTAGACTCAAACCATTGTTTCAGTTAGTAGCCAAGTACTTAAACATTTGAGCTACGTGGGGACTCCAGAATTTGAAAAACCAAAAACCAAACCCGTTGCCATTGAGTCAATTCCTACTCACAGTGGCCCGATAGGACAGAATAGAACTGTCCCATAGGATTTCCAAGGAGCACCTGGTGGATTCAAACTGTGGACACCTTTTGGTTAGCAACCATAGCTGTTAATCACTACTCCACCAGGGTTTCCCTCCGGAATTTGGGACTGTGTAATTCTAAACCCAGGAGCACTGGTAATGTAATGGTTATGCTGCTAACTGAAAGGTTGACACTTCGAACCCACTAGCAGCTGCATGTGAGAAAAGACGTGGTGACCTGCTCCTGTAAATATTACAGCCAAGGAACCTTATGGGGCAGTTCTACTCTATCCTGTAGGGTTGCTGTGAGTTGAAATCAACTCTATGGCATACAACAACAATTCTAAACCTCATGCTGTTATTGGGAGCAACTTTTAATTAGCTAGATTTAGCAAATGCTCTATTGGGAGAAACCTCTAGAGACATCGGGTTACCTTTGCTTCCTCCTTTAAAATGGCGGCTGAAACCCTCATATTCTGTTTGACATTTCAGCCTTATTATTTACTTCTCAAATAATAAAAGAACATATGAGTTATTTTGTAAGGCCAAGTACAATACGAAACAATAGCTAGAGCAGTAATTTCTGTAAAATTATATAAGGGCTGTTTCAAATTATTGTGTAAATACTACGCATATAATTCATTCACACATACCTTATTTATATGCAAATAACATGCGAATTCTGCATTTGTTTGCCAGCTGTGCCTGCCCCCCATGAGGCACCCACTCAAGCACCGCCAAGCCAATCTTCTTCCACAGGTTGCTGTAAAAAAAAAAGTTAGCATAGCATGCTGACAAAAATACTTCCAAGCGGAAGGCATGGCCAACAAACAAACGCAGAAGGCGTGCATTATTTGCATAAAAAATGGCATGCTTATTCATTTAATCTTATATGACAGGCATTACTGTAAGCACTGGAGATACATTCATGAATAAAACAGACAAAAATCCCTGTCCCCTGGAGCTTGTATCTGGTGGAAGGAGGGAGACAGACAGACAACAAACTAAATAAATAAATTACATAATATGTTAGAGAGGTCCCTGAGTGGTGCAAGCGATTTATGATCAACTGCTAACCGAAAGGTTGTCGATTGGAACCCACCCAGGGGTACTTCAGTAGAAAGGCCTGGCAATCTGCTTCCCTAAAGAGTGCAGCCAAGCAAACACTATGGAGCAATTCTACTCTGTAACACATGGGGTCTCCATGAGTCGGAATCAACTCAACCGCAATGGGATTGGTTTTGGTTTGGTAGTATGTCAGAAAGTGACAAGATTATGAACAAAAATAAAGCGGGTTGTGGTGGAGTTGTGATTTTTTCAAAGGTTGGTCAGGGAAGAGTTTCCTGAGAAGGCATGGAGGGGGTGAGGGAGTGAGCCACACTACTAGACGAGGGAAGAGCTTTCAGGCGGAGGGAAGAGCAAAAGCGAAGGCCTCGAGGAGGCAGAAAATTGGTGAGTTCAGACAGAAAAAAATGTGCCCAATTTAGTCAACTCATAAGTTAAAAGGATTCATTGATTAAATTGGCCAATAAAAATAGTTCATCGAGATCCCTCATGAAGACCCAGAGAAACTTTGAGGGAAGTAGGATGTAATAGTTAGCTTGAAGTAGGAACCCAGACTATAAGTGACTATAAATCTCCAGGCTAGGTGAAAAAATACAGATCTCAACATAACACTGTGACTTTTGTTTTAACTTGTTAAACACTGAATTGGATTGTGAGCAATTTTGAGGCTAGGTCAATTTCTAATCTGTACTGTGTCCTCCAAAAATTTAGGACACTCATCTCGCTATGGCCACCTTCCAAATACTTATGCCTTGAGTCGCCAGCTCTGTGTTCAAATCACCCTCATTGGTGAGTGGTTATCACCCACGGAGCCTAAAAGAAGATGCCCATTGGTCCAGGGCTCTTCCTAACTGCTCCAGCCTGATTTGTCATTTCTTTCTTCTACAACTTCTTTCTGTGAGCCCTTCCCATGCCATTTCCTCTCCCTTTAATGTCTCCTTTTTAACTTATTCCATTATTCATAATCCTGCCCTTCAAGGTTTATATCAATATGCTGTGTCCCTTATAGATATTTCTCACACTCACAACCATATGTAATTTCTCCTTCTTTTGAATGGCTGCAGCTTTTTATATCTACCATATGGCCTTTGTTGCAATCGGCCTTGATTTATAGTTATTGGTGCATTTTTTGCAAACTTCCTATTTTTAAGCTTTCAGGGCGCTAAATCTGTATTTATTCATTGGTGTATCTCTATTTTCTTAAGTAATTTCTTACATATAGACAGTGGCCAACCATTATTTGTTAAATTTAATTGAAGTTCCTATAAATTATCACATGCTTACACACAGCGTCAATTTTTATATTATCCTGGGTTCTATTCCCATCCAAGGAGCCCTGGTAGTGCAGTGGTTAAGAGTTTGGCCGCTAACCGAAAGGTTAGCAGTT